TCGGTGACTGGGCAACAAAATGGCAGTTCAATGTTGATAAGTGCAAAGTAATGCACATTGGAAAATATAATCCCAAATATACATACAAAATGATGGGGTGTAAATTAGCTGTTACCACTTAAAAGAAAATCTTGGAATCATTGTGGATAGTTCTTTGCCAACATTTGCTCAGTGTGCAGTGGGAGTCAAAAAAGCTGATGGACTGTTAGGAACCATTAGGAAAGGGATTAATAAAAATATCATAATGCCACTATATAAATCCATGGTACGCCCACATCTTGAATACTGTGTGCAGTTCTGGTTGCCCCCTCTCTCCAATTGTAATGCAGCTATTATTATTTTTTTTTAAAGTACAGAGAAGGGCAACAAAATGATTAGGGGCGTGGAACATCTTCCATATGAGGAGAGATTAAAAACACCAGGACTGTTCATCTTAGAAAAGAGACAACTTGATGATAGAGGTCTATAAAATCATGAATAGTGTGGATAGGGTGACCAGACAGCAAGTGTGAAAAATCAGGACAGGACTGGGGGGTAATAGCCTATATAAGAAAAAGACCCCAAAAATCGGGACTGTCCCTATAAAATTGGGACATCTGGTCACCCTAGGTGTGGAGAAGAAAGTGAACTAGGAACTGTTGTTTACTTTTTCAAATAACACAAGCACTGGGGTCACCCAGTGAAATTAAATGGCAGCAGGTTTAAAAAAACAAAAGGCAGTACTTCACACAATGCACAGTCAACCTGTAGAACTCATTGTGAATGCCAAAAGTATAGTTGGGCTCAAAAAAGAATTAGATAAGTTCATGGAGGATAGGTCCATCAATGGCTATTAGCCAAGATGATCAGGGATGCAACCCCATGCTCTGGATGTCCCTAAATCTCTGACTGCTAGATGCTGGAACTGGATGACATGGGATGGATCACTCAATAATTGCCCTGTTGTGTTCGTTCCCCTGAAGCATCTGGCACTGGCCACGGTTGGAAGACAGAATTCTGTGCTAGATGGACCATTGGTCTGACCAAGCATGGCCATTCTTATGTTCTTACATGTCTAATGTAAAATAGATGTAGAATGAAATCAAATTTATTTATTTTATTAAAATTTTCAGTCTTTTATACATAATAAAGTAGCAAAAAAAATCAAGCCCTTTTATTTAAAAAGAAGAAATTGCCTTTGAAAGTCATCTTTAAAGCACTTTCTGCTTATATATTCTCCTTGGATCTACTAGCATTCTGGAAAGTCTTATCCTCTTACATCAAGAGGATATACATAAGGGGAAAAAATACACAAAATTATTTATAAGGAATTACTTTTGTGGGATGAAAAAGAATTGTTGCCTCTGCTCATCCCCATATAGGAAATTGGAAGATAAATATGCCCTGATATAAGTCCTATATAGTATGATGAAACTAGTAGCCCAGATTGTCCAGTCCATTCCATTCGTTCAATGCTGCTCAGACAGCAAAAAGTCAGTGGATTCTGGCTGAAAAGGGCCAGAGAATCCCTGTTGTGCAAAAGAATTCTCTACTGGCAATAACTCTGACAGAAGTGTCTCCTCGTCTATAGGTAGTGTTGAGAGAGGACTGGGGTAGGATGCAGCAATGCTCCACTACACTAGTTCCCACTGATATAAATTAGAAAAGCCCCTCCGTTGCTCTAATGAACCCTAGAGCTGGGTGGTATAGGACCAGGAAGCTGCAAGTATTCTCTGAGTGTCTCCCCATCCTCATTCCCTGCAGAACTTTAGTGAGGGGAATGGATCCCTTTGTTTGAAAAGTACAAAGCAACAGGAAAAGTATGCCACCCTGTAACCACTTACAAATATGTGTTCAGAAATGGAAAGTTGAAAAAGGGCTCTCAAGTAGTACCCATAAATTTGTGACCTTTGTAGGTTACAACAGAGATGAAAACAGAGAGTAAATACCAATGTCAGTTGCTGTTATCCCAGTACTAGGGCAGTGAGCTGCTGATGAATGGCGGGGATGGGTTTCTGTCACAGAAAGGGGTCTATCCTCATTTTGTAAATGAAGTAATAAATGGAAATAATCCAGCACAAAACTATTACATTTTGGCATGGTAATTAAATAGGTATTATCATTAATCAATCTAGAGCTAGAAATAAGTTGTTAATACTTAATTTTTACTACAGTAGCACCTACTGATTATGGACAGCTCAGGGCCCCATTGCACCAGGCACAACTTGCACATATACTAAAAGATAATCCATGGCCCAAAGAATCTTAGACAAGATGCAGTAAATGAGTGTGACACATTTGGGGAGTTGGAAAAGGATGAACAGGATAGCAGTAACATGAGCAAGTTTTGTATAGATTAGCTGTATGCAGAATTGCTCACCACCTGGGCAGCCATTATCTGTTTCAATTATTCTATAGGTATCTTGGCAGAAATGCGTCATAAGGAGGCATTTGTAGGAAGATAAGGTGATAGATTTACAGACTTTGATAGGGAGTTTTTCCTATGCATAAGGGGCAGGACAGGAGAAAGAGTAGGGTGATGAGAATGATCAGTCAAGTAGATGATCTTTGGAGCAGCAGAAACAAATTAGAGATAGTAAATACCTAATATATAAGACTACATGTGTTGTCAATACTATATCATGGTTTTCTAAAATAGTAAGGAAAGGAACAGTTGTTGATATTTATACCACAAACATAGTATAAATGATTAATGGCTCATTACAATAGAGATTATTAGGACCAGCTGAAATGCTCTTTCCCATAAACCTTTTCACTGAAGAGGATATATTGATCTGCTTGAGGCAACAGTGACTTGACAAATTTGAAGTGTTGTGGAAGGCTTGCAATAATTACTATTATCTGATTAAAATAATTTGGTTCACTTTTTTAAACATATGCATTATAAAGCAAAATTAACATTCCTGCAGATAGCTGCTTTAAGTTTATTAATTATCTAAAACAAAACTTTCCTATCTCCAAATCTCTTATTTCTATTAGGGCTGTCAAAAAAATAATAAAAATAATCGTAATCAATTGTGAGATTTTAAAAAATAGTCATGATGTATCGCAGTTTTAATTGCATTATTAAACGATAGAATACCAATTTAAATTTATTATAAATATTTTGGATCTTTTTCTACATTTTTAAATATATTGATTTCAATGACAACACAGAATGTAAAGGGTACAGTGTTCACTTTATATTATTTTTAGTGCAAATATTTGCCCTGTAAAAAAGATAAATAAAAAATAGTATTTTGACAAAATGTAAAGAAGTTACCAATGTGAGATTTATAAAGATAGCTACAGCTCTCGACCAAAGGTTTAAGAATCTGAAGTGCCTTCAAAAATTGGAGAGGGATGAGATGTGGAGCATGCTTTCAGAAGTCTTAAAAGAGCAACACTCCGATGTGGAAACTACAGACCCCGAACCACCAAAAAAAGAAAATCAACCTTCTGCTTGTGGCATCTGACTCAGATAATGAAAATGAACATGTGTCGGGTCTGCACTGCTATGGATCGTTATCAAGTAGAACCTGTCGTCAGCATAGAAGCATGTCCTCTGGAATGGTTGTCGAAGCATGAAGGGGCATTTGAATGTTTAGCACATCTGGCACGTAAATACCTTGCAACGCCGGCTACAACAGTGCCATGCGAAAACCTGTTCTCACTGTCAGGTGACATTGTTAATAAGAAGCTGGCAGCATTATCTCCTGCAAATGTAAACAAACTTGTTTGTCTTAGCGATTAGCTGAACAAAAAGTAGGACTGATTGGACTTGTAGGCTCTAAAGCAGTGGTTCTCAACCTGCAGGCTGCATGTGGACCAATTAGCACACACCTGCAGCCCAGCTGTGTGCTAAAGGCCCCATGGTCTGCGCAGCAGGTTCCGGGAAGGGCCCGGGGTCCTGGCTGCCCAGCCTGGTGGGATCCAGGGCCCCGGCAGCCCAGCCGCCCAGCCCTGCGCAGCAGGGTCCAGGGTCT